TCTCTCTCTCTCTCTCTCTCTCTTTGTGTGATATTTATATTTAAAATATTTATGGTTAAAAGAAATAATTAAAATAATTGGAATAACATATTAGAATGATTCTCTCCTCTTTGCCATTCAATATATAGCTTGTTGAATAAATTGTAGTACCTCAAGTTCCATTCGAAGGGCTTCATCAAATCCGACTGCTGCAAACTTGGACGCACAATAGTCTACCAATTTCGGAATTCCGCATTGACCGGCTAAACTGGCCACACTCACAATATGTCCTTTATTGCCCTCCAACATCGTTGGAAGAAAAGCCTTTACAGTCTAAAAAAATTATAGCAAGATCTTTATTATATTAGTTATTAGTTCTAAACAATTAAAACAAATCAATGATATTATTACTTCTGATATATAATTTGCAAAAATTGGTTTAAAAATTGCTAATACTTTAAAAAATTAAAAGATAAATGTATATTTTATAAAATTATATTAAAATAATTTTGCAAAGATGCAAGACAAAGTATACGTATATGTGCACGTGCGCGCAGTATGTCTTACAAGGGAACCTCGCGAAGTGTCAAATACTGATTTTAATGAAACTTGGTACACTTTGAGGTCACATAAATAGATGAATTTAGAAATTATCAGTTGGTGCTAAAAAACGGTTTAATGGAATGAAACCATCCCTTATATGTAAATTAATTTTTTTTTTCGTTATATCTGAAAATTATTCAAGATATCAAAAAACGTTTTATACAAAAGTTTTACTGTAAAATTATCTCTATTCACTTACGTTAATAGAATTTTTTTTAATGTTTATTTTCAAAAAATTTTTAAAATATAATTATTAGAAAAATATTATTAACATAAATGAATAAAGACATTTTACTGTAAAACTTTTGTATACAACATTTTTTGATATCTTGAATAATTTTCAATATATAACAAAAGAAAAAAAAATTAATTTACATATAAGGGTAGATTCATCCCTTTAAACTGTTTTTTTTAGCACCAACTGATAATTTCTAAATTCATTTATTTATGTGACCTCAAAGTGTACCAAGTTTCATTAAAATCAGAATTTGACACTTCGCGAGGTTCCCTTGTAAGTGTTATGTAAGTTAAAGTAAACAGTCTTGCAAATTTAATTCAGTTAAGATACAAGTTAATCCGTGGTAAAATGAATTTAATTAAAAGTTAAGGTGATAAAAAAGGTAATTAAAAAGTTAAAAATTAAATCTTTTTCATTTCATAATTTCTGGGTTTCTAATTAAAGTTTTCAAATGAAGTGTGTAATTTGTTGTACTTATTTCCGTCGGGTCACGAAAGGACGTCCGATTTCGAGGAATTTCTTCCAACACGATTCAATGCATGAAATGCCCGCGAACAATAGTTCCTTCCTGCAGCCAGACTATATTTATTATACATATTATTAATAATTATCTTGATGTGCATTCTCAAATTTGAAGACACCGACGCAGTTATGTATTTTTTCTTGGGTTTGCTTAAGAAGCTAAACAATTTCAAGAAAGTTAAATTTAAAAGTTAATATAGTTGCAAATAAAACCAATAACTAAATTAAGTTAAAAATTAAGACAAAACAAAATTCGGCTCGTTAATTGTAATACAATAAGAAAGGAGTCAACGGCCAAAGACGCGCAAATTCACAGGTGTTAAATAATTTATTAATCAATTTTCTAACATAAAAACACAAAACGAAGTTTCGATTCTTACTTGGACTTTCTTAATCGCATTAAGGGGTAACACCACTTTGACGCTCTGAAATTTAAGGCTTTTTCAGGAATTTTTTTTTTTAAGAAATGCGGTGTTTATAAAAATGCATTTAGACTAATTAAATATATATATTAAAGTAGAAATTGGTTTTTTTAGTTGATATATTAAAAAATGGCGGCTTGACAGCTGATGGGCGGGAGCGTTTCGCAAAAAGAGGGTCAAGCGATGGGCACGATAGCTCATCGTAGACTTGACAATGAACAATGAAATAAAAAAATTAGTTATTTTAATCCAAAAGCTAGTAGAATACGTAGCTGTTTAAAAAAAACATGCATTTTTAGTGATATGATATCGATTCAAAGTAAAATGTAAAATTTTCAATCAAAAATTTTGTTACTTAAAGTTACACAGAAAAGCGAGATATCAATATTAAAAAAAAATCCTACGTATTCTAGCTTTTGGACTAAAAAAATCTAATTTTTTTTGTTTTATTGTTTTAGGTCAAATCTACAATAAGTTGTGCTCACCGTTTTTTTTCCGTTCATCAGCTGTCAAGCCGCTATTTTTTAATATATCAACTAAAAAGAATATAATTTCTACTTTAATATATATATAATAGATTTTTATAAACACTTTGCATTTCTTAAAAAAAATTCCCTTAAATTTCAGGGTGTCAAAGTGGTGTGTGTTATCCCTTAATAATTTAATCTTTAAATCCTCAGTTATTTATGTTTCATTATATCATTGTGCATCACAGTTATATATATAGTGACCATGAAATGCGTAGGATTTAAAAATTAAATTATTAATGCGATTGAGAAAGTCCAAGTATCGAAACTAGTTTCGTTTTGTGTTTTTATGTTAGAAAATTGGTTAATAAATTATTTAACACCTGTAAATTTGCTCGTCTTTTGCCGTTGACTCCTTGTTATTTATTGCAAAAATTCAGAGTTCAAAGTGTATGTAAATTGTAAGTTAAAATTATTTTACTTTTCCACCTAACTTTTGTCTTTTTAACTAGTCGCTACTCTATTCCTGATAATCTCTGTAAGCCGTAAGAAGAGCAAAAGAAAACACGCTAAACACACATTCCGTGCTCTCTACTTTAAACCTTCAATGGATATTGAATAATACGTCGCTCAATAAAATGATTATCACGGACAAAAGTACAGTCGATCGAGGTGTTGCAAAAAGGACAACGATAGGTTGTTAATGCGATTATATAGGTTTTTCTGGCATTTTCACGAATAAAAGTCACAAGTTAATGCAGATCAACGATGCACGATGCAGCGTCGCGTAATCCCCCCCCCCCCTCTTCTCTCAGTCGTCGTTATGCATGCAGCGCGACGATGTGCAAAATAGCCGCGCATCTGCAAATACAGATGTGACTAACGGTACATAACGTTAACGAATACAGAGCATCTTTCGTCAATCTTCTCGGTTGGACGCGTTGGTGCGCTGCACTGATGGCCGCGTGTATATCGAAGCCGTGTCGCAGGCTGATTTAATCCGCGCGGGCGTACAAAACACGCAAAATTATTATTTCGAACTGTAAAATATACATATTTTAATCGCACGATAAAATATTGTAATGGGGATTTCGCGGTTTAACTCGCTTCGGTAATATCTATGTTAACCACACATCTTTACGTCAATTTGTGTGTACCACGGCTTTTTAATATGCATCAGTGCGCACGGATTGCGCACTAGTGCGCCTAACCAAATTCGCTATTGTACGCCGTGGAACTCCCACGCCATTAGCGGATATTTTTATTCCGCGTGCGTGTGAAACATTCTGCATAACGAATCTGAATCATCATTGCTTCCGCGTACGAGCATGCTAACGCGGATTTTTTCAATGCTAGTAATTTGTGACAAAACAACGACGTTCTTTGAATTCGTTTTTGTCACCAATTTAATTAGACTTTGATTTATCTTTATATCGAAGCGACACTCGACTGTTCTTTGAAACGGCTCTTCTTTATTAGTTCTTTTTTTCTTGAATTAATCATTTTCTTTGAATTAATCAAACAAATCTAATAACTTCACATTTTTTTATTTATTTGACCTTTTATTTGAGACTGCAATATTCATTACTAGAAACACGGTTGGGTAGGTAAGTTAATATTTTTTTTAAACTGAGTTAAATTAATGTTAACAGTCTTATAGCCATTTCTACCAATGTAGATTAACTTTAATCTTGGTTTAACTTATTTTGTATCTTCAATTTTTAATGTAAATTTCTACCAATGTAGATTAACTTTAATCTCGGTTTTATTTATTTTTTATCTTTTTTTAATTCTTAGAAATTAGAAAAAGATACAAAATAAGTTAAACCAAGATTAAAGTTAATCTACATTGGTAGAAATTGACATTAAAAATTTAACTTAGTTAAGATACAAGTTAGTCCATAATAATAAAATTAATTGAATTAAAAGTTAAGTTAATAAAAAAAAGTGATTGAAAAATTAAAAGTTAATATTTTTTTTCATTTTATAATTTTAGGGCTTCTAAATAAAGTTTCTAAATAAAGTATATTTGTGATATTTATTTCTGTCGACCTGCGGAAAAAAGATCGATTTCGAAGGACTTCTTCCGACGTAATTTAACGCATGGAAGAATCCACAGCGGTTTCCTTCCCGCGGCCAGAACTATAGTTATATTATAACAATTGCAGGACTATAGTTAGTTATATTATAACAATTGTCTTAATGTGAGTTCTCAAATTTAAGTTTGAGGACATTAACGCAAATATGTATTTTATTTTGGGTTTATAAGAAGCATTAAGAATGTAACTTCAAGAAAGTTAGATCAAAGTTAATAGTTACACGTTACGGAAAGAACGATTTTGTTGAAAGGTCTGAACATTTTGCTGACTACAGATCTGAAAATAATTTTTGTTCAATAATCAAAATAATTTATTGGAAAATTAAAAATAAGGCATTGCTATAAAATGTTTTGATATTCTATAGCAATCATTTTGACTTTCAAACAAAATTATTTTGATAAATTGAACAAAAATTATTTTCTGATCTGGATCCAGCAAAATTGTTCTTTCTGTGTACCGATAAAATGTAACTAAATCAAGTTAAAAGTTAAGTGTCTAAAATGTAACTGATTTAAGTTAAAATCATTTATCTTTTTAACTAGGCACTATCTAATCCTGGTTAGAAATAATGGAATTTTCGCGCGAGAGACAGCGCGTTTCTATATATTGGATACGTTTGCACTTACGAGAACAATTTTACGTTAATAACGCATCTTAACGACCGTAAGTTATGACCTCCGACACGAATCCGGCACGACAAAGTCCGAACGGAGAGAGTTTATCTACGTTTGAACTATGGCCATATTTTCTAAGTAATTACATAATATCGTAATGCCATCTCTCGAACATTTACATTAACAACGTGCAGTTATCGCGTTTACCTTTATCGTATCGTCCTGCACCGATGCGCGTTATTGTTAATGCAATTTGCACTTTTACAAAAACACGTCAGTATATATACGCGAAGCATTTATCATTTCGCATGAGACGCGTGCGTGAATTATTATCTAACAGGTCGATCGAATTGGGATACCGTACAGCCACACGGAAAGAACGATTTTGTTGAAAGGTCTAAAAATTTTGCTAAAAACAGATCTGAAAATAATTTTTTGTTAAATCATCAAAATAATTTGTTGGAATGTTAAAACTGATAATTGCTATAAAACGTTTTGATATTCTAGCAATTATTTTGACTTTCGCAAAAAATTATTTTGATTAATGAACAAAAATTATTTTCAGATCTGGATTCAATAAAATTGTTCTTTCCGTGCATCAATCTATTTTGCATTCGATTAAAAAATTTAGGTCACTGGCGCGCTATACAATAAATTTCGCATTAATTTATTCGTGGTATTTATGCAAATATCGGCGGCGGCGTGGATCACCTGGTGCGAAATATTTAGGAAACTTCTGGCGCGCGCGCGGCTTACGTGATTCCGATTCAGGGGAATTATTTAAATCGTTACACATGACGATTCCAAAGATTATCTTCATGTCATACTTCCATCAATCAAAATACTTTCAACCGTCGCATCGGCGTGGAAAGGCCTTTTCAGAGCTCTCTAATATCGTTATTTAACATCTGCCTACTTACACTTTCCACATCCATCGCCTCATCCTTAATTGATACCGTTGTATCGCCGCGCGTATTTACGTTTTCACTTTCATTGAACGCCGACGATACAGAGCGCTTCTATACGCTTGCTTTGCACACCCGTTATCTATTACGACATCTAGATCTAAATTCTGAAATTATTTATGCACAGATCTAACGTGTCTAAGCCCCTACAGGCGGCATAATATTCAAATTCTAAATTTGATGAAGTTCCAATTTCGAATTAATCGGTTCTCGATCGGTTGATTTTGATTGAGCCAAAAGCCGACGTCGCTCTTCGACGACAATTTACGAAACCATCGGAGCAGCTTCTCTCATCGTCAAAAGTAAACAGGTAATCCTTATTGCATCTTGCGTCGACTCATCAATTTAACTTACGCGAGCGACATGAAATTACAAAAATGTCAAATTACTTGACAAATTCGAAATTAAGCGTTATAAATTACGACATGCTTTTAGTTATTATATTAAATCCATCGCGCGCACAAATAATTCCTAGAATTACCCCATTGTAGTTGTATAAAAACGCATAATGTGTAATTACATACATTAATTACTATTACTTATTACGTCAGCATTAATTATTGACGAAGCATATTCATCAATTAAGGTGCACGATTAATTTTTATTTAAATATTTTACATAGCACACGACGGAGAAACGGGTTAATCTAGCAGCAATGTAAAATGAATTAAGTTTAACACGGTCTTTCGTAACAGGAATATGTAATTCCTTTTTTAATATCAATTAATTATGTCGCGCGTATTTCACAGCTTTAATATAAATTAATTATATCGTCTTTCAGCTTTCATTTTAGAATAAATTTTTCTGTTTTACAAAGGCAAAAATTGAGAGACGTACCGATTTATCGATTCTTCAAAACCCTTTCAAATGTTTGCCAACATTTCGATGTAAATGCGTGAGTAATATTCTAAAAAGTAAATAAGTATAAAACTCGGCGACATCGGAGAGATTGACGTCGCGAGATCGACTTACGGAAATTGGTTGCGGTATTCGCGACGTTACCGATTCCGTCGAGCAGGCTGGAGGGCAAGGGCTCGGCCGGCGACGCGTGCACCACCGCCACCCCGACGATGAGGGCGATGCGCACCATCGTCGGGGCATGGCTCGTCACGCGGCACTTCATCATTCAGCGACGGACGGCTCCTCGTATAGATAAGATCCGCCGCGTTGGGAAACGTGAGGAAAAATGAGGCCGATCGACCCGCTCTCGTGGGAGCAGGAAGGCTGACTGACAAGATGAAAAACCGTCGTCGCGCCCGCCGGTAGCGGTTTGCTGTGCTGCTGTGTGCACGAGCCTAACCGTCCGCTCCCGCTTGCACGCGCGTGCACGTGCGTATGTAGAAGTGCGAGCGTGTCCAGCGAAAGTGAGCGCTCGTGCACGCACGCGGCCGGCCGCGCCGCGCCGCGCCGCGCCGCGCGCCGTCGTTCGCATCGCGATTTAAGCAAGTACACGCTCGATTCAGCCTCTCGCGCCGAAATGAGCTCCGACAATCGCTCCGAGACGAGTCTCTGTTGGCGAATCTCTTTGTTGCAGAATCGCGAGAGGAGCCTTGAGAATTTCTCCATATCACGGAAAGAGCAATTTTGCTGAATTCAGATTCTAAAAATAATTTTTGCTCCATAATCAAAGTAATTTTGTGTAAAAGTCAAAGTGATTGCTAGAATATTAAAACGTTTTATAGCAATGCTTATCAGTTTCAACAGTCCAATAAATTATTCTGATGATTCAACAAGAAATTATTTTCTGATCTGTTTTTTAGTAAAATTTTTAGATCTTTCAACAAAATCGTTCTTTCCGTGATATATAAAACAAATATAATTTAGTATTTATTTTAATAAAATAATACAATTTACTTATTTAAGAATTTATTTTACAATTTATTTATTTAAAATAAATACAATTTATTTTATCAAACGCGATAAATCTATTAGATGAAATAAAATTAGAACTGCAAACGTTCTATAACAAATTTGATATTATTTTGTGATAATTTATGTCTAAATTTCAAATCGAGGTGTATTATTCGTGCAATTTTTTCCATATATTTTAAAATAAATATTATTAGCCAAATAAATATTATATATATTCCATATATTTTAATAATAATATTATTTATAATATTATAAATAATATAATAATAATAATAATATTATTATTATTATTAAAATATTATTAAAATAAATAAATATTAGCCGAATTCTTCGAATTCTTAACTTGCAATTTATTTACAGTAAACCGCGATATTTATTGTAAAATGTAATATAATTTAAAATATTGCAAAATGTAGTGTAATTTAAAATATGTGTGCAAATATTTTATAACCGTTCGTAAAATTTGCGTTCGAAGCGATTTATATACATTAAAAGAAGACCAATACATATATCGATAGTTGCTCGCGGAGTCAATGTTCTATCGTTATCAATATTTACGAAGAGTCGCGTGATGTGATTCTCCTGTGAATCAATCCGGCTTGTTGATTAGGCGCGGCCGAACGTGCGACACAAAAAGAGAAGAAAAAAAAAACACGACCGAATGTCGCAACTTTCAGCCTCGTACGTATTATTACAAAATTGATGACCGGTTTCGGTAAGAGATAGAATTAAAAAGAGATGGGAGATCGGGAGTTAAACTGGGACTAAAGTTGACCGACGCTGGTGAAATCAGCCGGCATATCACATAAGTGATTTTCTTACGGTCACCACTCAACGTACACTTATATCTGGATAAAATGCTTTTCCTGCTCTCACAAGTGCACATGGATATTGTGCTTCCACGCGATGTCGAATTAACCTGCGGCATATACCTATATGTGCAGAGTAGGAAACTATTATTAGCGCGTTCACGTGTTACGGATTCCAAGGATCACGCCAATCCGACTCTCGTCGGTGTACACACATGTGTACGTATACAGGGTGTCCTGAAAAATTACCGCAATTCTTTAATTGCATGTTGTGAAGATTAATTAAAATCGCGATACGAAAACATCGAGGTCACGGTAGTTTTTGAATTGTAAATTGACCGATAACGATTAGCGTTAGCCCAAACGTATAATCTCTGCATCTATATCTGCTCGCGTGGCGATTTGTCGGCTGCTATTAATTTTTGCAGCACGATTATCGAGAATTTGCTGCTCAGCTAATTTTGCCTTTTACTTTTTTCTCCACAAGTACTGCGTACAGTTTCTGCATATCAATTGACGTGTACTTGATTAGTAGTAAGTTTTGATGGTTATATTCAGATTATTTAATACAATTTTCTAAATATTTTAAAAAAATATAATTAACAATTCTTATGTTTAAATTAGTTAATTATTTTCACATTTCTATTAAAAAGAAAGAAGTAAATAATTTGTGTACAAAATTTGCTTCCAACGATCTGTAATTTTGCGTCAATTCCAAGATAAAATTATATTTACAATTTCATATGCACTCTTCTCTCCTCTTCTGTATTTTAATATTATTATAATATAGACTTTATCACGAGTACATACTCTTTTTGTATTAATGCGACACATAAAATTATAAATATAGAATTCTATTTTGAATTACGAGGCTCTAATTATAAATAATTTGAAATGAATTTAATATAATGCGTGCTCTTATTTGTGCGCACGTGTTTGCAAGATAAATTATATTTTATTGCATATTTTATTACATATATTAACATATATTACAATTTGCAGCATATTTGTTGAAAAAGAATTTGATATATGATAATATCTTTATCAAAACTCTTAAAACGTTGGAGCGGAATTAATCGTTGCGTCAGGCAAAATCGACGCGCGAAATGTGCGCTGTAATACATATAATAATGCCATTCATTGAAATGAATTCTGCAACATAAAGAACTGAATATTCAACGTGGATTTACTTCGTGTATAGCGCGCTCAAATATTTCGTAGCCGCGACGGTAAATAAATTGGATTTGAAACGCCGCGCGACGAGCGAATTGCGAATTGTAAACCGTGTTGTACACGGTTTTCTTGTTATCGCAACACTCGCGGCGAGTGCGTAGGTCGCGTGTTGTCATACGCACCGCTAAAGACCTGGGCACGACGAGCCGGCAGGTAGGTATAATGGACTCCGTGGTTGCGTCCGCGCGGCAGGCATTCAGCGGCATTATCCTTTGATGCGCCACACCGAGAAATACCACCGTGAGCCGGTACGCGCTCATCCTCCGTGAACAATTAGCAATTATCAAACTCATGGCGATCGATTAGCTTCTACAATTCGCGCGATTCTGCAAGCGTATAATGAAAGTGACTTATTGAGGTATGCAGGTATTCCGCGCGATTTGTCCCTTTGAAGCGGAGATTTGGAACGGTGGGATATAGATGGAAATTGTTTCGAGCGTCGCGCGACATTTCTGTTGACGGTATATAGTCATATCCAGGGCTGGGTAAAATGCTTTTCGATTTGTATTTAAAATGCCAAATATAAAATACCTTAAAAGAGGTATTTAAAATGCAAAATGTAAAATAAGTTTTTCGAATCCATTTCAAATGTAAATAGGTAAATAGGTATTTTAAATGATTTTCATGAAATGCAAAATAGTTTTTCTGAGTGTATGCCATTAAATTGGCAATTTATTTTAATATAATCATACATTTTATTTGTTTTACTTAATAAAACATGGAATCATTTCATCCTTGTTGTTCGCTGATAGTTAAACAAGGACAAATGATGCTCGCAAACGTTAAGTTCAACGTAGGGCGCGTTCAACAGACAGATCAGTGAGCGCTCAATGATTCGCCTTTGTTGCAGTATTGGTTTATTCACTCAGATCCAGCAAAAAGCTAAAGCCAAAAATCAATCATATTAAAGAATCACTAAACGCTAAACGCACACTGATCTACTTTGTCAACTGAACGCGTCCATAGAAGAAATTGTGTTTTGAGCAATTACGAAACTTGATTTCTTTTATGCGTCGAAGACTACGTTTACACGTCATTCTTAATCAGGTTTAATAACATCTGTAGCTATGAAACTGGTCAATCACAGTCATTTTATTCTTCAGAGGAATAGCTTTAATTGATTAGATTAATTAATACTACAGATGTTATTAAACTCAATTAAGGCTGCATTTACTTTGACGCTTACAACGTTTATCTTTTCATCCTTGCTGTTTTTTAAATATTAAAGAAGAACAAATGATGCTCACAAGTGTTGTAAGCGCCAAACCAACCGCAGCCTCAGAGCAACGTGTAAACGTGTAAACGTAATCAATAATGCTAGGAGAAATTTGTGAGCGCTTAGAAAAACCATTTACACGTTTTACATATATAGTTAAATGATAATAGATATTTCCATTTCAAATGTAAAATGAAAATGGTTTTTCAAAAAGTATTTAAAATATAAAATTTAAAATGCCATTTTCATTTTAAATACATATTTAAAATGGGACTAAAATGACTATTTCAAATATTATCCAGCCCTGGTTATATCTATATTAAATCCGCGAGTATATGCTTCGCGGAATCCGATTCCAATTTTTCCGCCGATTCAGGCGTAATTTGTCTAGTATTTTCGAAATTGTGAGCGCGCTGAGTGATGCACGGGAGCAGAGCGAAATCGAACTATTATTGAAGTTAAGAGAAGGCCGTATACATGATGTATATCGACCGTTTGTTAATAACCCGTGTATCTCGCGAGGATTTGCGCATGCAAAATATACATTGCGATACCGAATATTCAGTTATACACGTTTTCGGACGTTACTTAATTGGTCATCAACTCGACCTTTATTTATCGCGCGGAGTATCAGATTGAAGTTTTGCCGATGCCATTTGCGCGTTGTTTATCGCTGATTTGTTAAAACATTCCCGCCGATCAGGATTCGTGCAATGCGTAAATGTGCACGTTTTGCGGGTTTTCGTACACGGAAAGAATGATTTTGTTGAAAGATCTAAAAAGTTTGCTAAAAACAGATCTGGAAATAATTTTTTGTTGAATCATCAAAATAATTTGTTGGAAAACTGATAAGTATTGCTATAAAACGTTTTGATATTCTAGCAATCATTTTGACTTTTGCACAAAATAATTTTGACTATTGAACAAAAATTATTTTCAGATCTGGATTCAGCAAAATTGTTCGTTCCGTAACTAATCGTACTTTTCTTACACCAGTTTTCCATCGTTACGTTAATAAAATGCTCGCGCGATTAATATCGGAAATTCTGCTGTTTGTTACAAGCATTCTTTATTGCTTTCGATAATTAACGATCGCATCAATCATATTTTTACAAGTATCGTGTGGGTACAACGAACCCGACGCGATTGGAGAAGAAAGAAGGGAGATAATGAAGGAGTTACTACGAAGTAAATCGTTTGTTTAGTCGAACTTCCATAATTCGAATCTCAAGGGAAAAGTTAAAATCTTCGAGTTGTAGAGTTTTCGACTTATCGAAATTCGAGTAAAAGAAGGTTAACATAAAAATTCAACTTACGGACGCTTTGTACGAGAGTTTATATAATTTTCCGATTATAATCCCAGCAAATTCCATAGATTATAACTACATTATTGCAGCAACATTGTAATATTTTTGCAATATAGCTGGAATGATACAATGTTGCTGTAACTTTGCAGTTATAATATAATCTGTGTTTGCGCTGAGATGGAGATGGCTTTTAGAGGAAAAAAAATCAATATATGACAGTGAATTATTTATTGCATACATATAATAAACAGGGCGGGTACTACCGGGAAAAACCGGGAAAATCTGGAATTCTCAGAGAATTTCATTTTTGCCCTTGAAAATCATGGATTTTCATGGAATTTTACTGGTACTCGGAGAAATTTGTTGAATTTTTAAAATTTAATTTTATCCCTTTAGAAAGTAAATGAGGCCTCATATTGAAGGCCCTTGTGAAAGTTAATTTATTTTAAAATTGACATACACTATATAAAGACTTTTTAATCTAAAAAACGATAATCCGGAAATAATAAATCAGGCATTAAAGTCTAATAACGCAGAACTTGGTGCGTGAAACAATTTAATCTTTACATCATATGTAGTTACATCGCCATATAAAATCTTTCGTTACGTTTGAAAAATTTTGTATGAAAATGTAACTATTGTATATGTGAGAAGATTAAATTGTTTCACGCATCAAGTTCTATACGTTATTAAAACTCTTAGTGCCTAATTTATTTTAAAGCTGTATTGAGATATTCTCTAATCTTACCTGGAATTTTGAATAAAATTCCTGTAGGAAAATCCGGGAATTTTCAGGGAATTCTTTTACAAAGTTTGAATACCCACCCTGACAATGTTGCTGTAACATTGCAGTTATAATCTGTGTTTGCTGGGATGGCTTTTAGAGGAAAAAAAATCAACATATGACAGTGAATGATTTATTGCATACATATAATGTAATCATAAAACAAATACCAGGCTATTATTCATGGTTACACATAGCTACAACTTCAAATTATAGAGGCAACGACAATAGAAGTTTGATTTATAGATTGAGGTGAACTTCGATTTGTACAGGTCTGGCTACTTTAAATTCGAGTTGCAGAGATAAAACAATACATCTAAATATCTGACAAAT